CGGAACGCCCCGGCCCACCGCCCCCGGGCCTGCTGGCTCCCGCGGCCCTCTCCGCCCCTCTCCCGGACTTCAGCTCCTGAGCACAGTGAGAGGTCACCTGGGCGCCTGCCGCCTTCTGCACCATTACCGAGTCCCTGAAAACCAGCCTGGCTCCCCAAGCCTCCTAGTCGGGTGTCCAGAAGGGAAGGTCTCGGCCTCCACAGTGCCTCCGTCCAGTCCCAGCGCCATCACTCACCTGCCCCAGAGAGGCTCTAGAGCCAGAACACTTGCCCTACCCGAGGGGCTGCTGGAGGGGAGGAAATGCCAACCTGGCAGCTGCCGGCACCGCCACAAAGCTCTCGGCCTCGGTTTAGCAGCCTGCACAAAGACAGGAGCCCTGACTTGCTGGTTTGCCTGTGGGGAAAGGTGATGTTTGTAAGGCACTGTGCTGCGGTTTGCACGGTGGCCCCGTGGCCGACCCTGGGGTCTAAAGGTGGACAAGGTGACACCCTGCCCTTGGCCTCCCTGAGTTCAGGGAAGCAGTGTGGTTCCTCCTGTCGCTCCTGCCTCCCGCCTTTCACAACCTCTCCGGCCCTTGGGCAAAGCAAGCACTCCTCCAAGTGGCATCCTGGTGACATCTCTGGGTGCCCCACGCTTGACCCTGGAGGTCGTGGGCAACATAGAGGAGGAATTGCTCAGGGCCGGCCATGGGTAAGGGTCGGGCCAAAGGGTTGTAGGGTCCACATCCATGCCCCTTGGTAAGGGCAGGAGTTTTAACTATCCTGCTCACAGCTGGACCTTACCCAGGGATGGGCCGGGTGCTTTTTCCATCCAGAACTCCGGCCCCCCAGGCTCCTTCCTTCAGCTCCCCAAGCTGCTGACTCAGAAGTACATCTATGTTTCAGGTGTGTCGCCCTCACCCAACCGTCCCTCTGGCAGCACCAGCTGCACAGCCTGAAGGTAGGCCCCACGGATGGAGCCTTTCTCTACCACATAGCAAAGGTGGGCTGGTGCACCAGGAGTAAGCGTGGTGCTGGGAGACAGTGGGAATGGGTCCAAGCGCTCCCAGGTCCTGCAGGGTGAGGAGGCAGGCCGGGCAGGCAGAGAGGGGGCCCTTGGAGGAAGGAGCCCAGCTGGCTGCCAAGGGAATCTGGAGCCAGGCTCAGGAAGGGAGATGGGTTTGGGTTGCTTTGAGTGACAAGTGAGAGTGAGAATCTGCTACAGGGACTGAGACCTTCTGAGCAAGAACAGAAAATACGTGACTCATGGGTCACGACATCTGTTCTTGGTGTAACAGATGGATTCTTGTCCTGACCCTGGAGGGTCTGACAGCCGCTGAAAAATTCAGAATGAGATTAGGGAAAGGCAGTCTTCAGCTCTCAGCCTCAGAAACTGTCTGCAGTGATCCCGTGAAGGCAAGGAGAGGTTGTAAACGTGTTCTATCTGAATTAATCACCTGTAATATGTATAACATATATATAGTCAGAATCTTTACATATCGTTAAACATACGTATGTTATATTACTTATAATGGGTCCATATTTTCTTTTATAAGAATAAATGAAAATAGCTGGGAATTTAGCTCAGTGGTTCTGCTGCCTACTTTGCAAGTCCAAGGATCTGAGATCAATCCCCGGTACCAAAAAAAAAAAAAAAAAAAAAAAAAAAAAAAAAAAAAAAAAAAAAATATAT